TCTTATTCTGCGGCCACAAAACTGCTTTTGCGAAACCATTTTTGCTGTAGAAATGGTACAGCAGGAAAAGAAAATATTGTAAGGGTGAGTCATTGTTTCCAAGTCGTGTCTCAACGAAGGAAAAAATCGTGGCTTTTTATTTACGACCGCTTTTAGCGCAAATTTGACAGCAAAAACATTCATGGCGGGCAAGAGAATAAGCCAACATTCAAAAAGGCAAAACGATCAATAAAACACATCTACGTTTACGTCAGCCATCACTGAAAGAAAAATATCGTCCGCTTCGGAATAATCGATGAAAAGTGAGTGAACTCAAGAAAACTATTCGGCAACAATGAGTTCAGATCTGAAATCTCGAAAAACATCTTCGTAAGCTGCATATACACGAACAAGATAAAATAAGAAGGACGCATATGCACATTTCGCTCAGAGATAATAAGAAAAACGACACCAACTATTGAAAATAATTCTGGAACTTAAGTTCGATTCTGAAGTCTTCATCAGACAGTTTACAACGTCGAAAGTTGCAAACCAAAATAAAAAGATTTATCCGCGCGAAAAGTTTACCTTCCTTTAAAGGCAATCAAACTTTGTAGAAAATGTGAAGGTGAGGCAATCACGATGATCTTTTTCACTTCTTACCGAGTATTTCGAATCGCTGCCCGAATTTCCGGGATCACGAGAAGTAACATGATCCACAGAAGACTAAGCTCCCAAGGTTCAAATCAAATAAAGCCCCGCTTTCGAACAGCCCAGTTGACAACACTTGAAACAACTGATCAGCAGTTATCTGAAGGAACAATTTTTCTTTACAAGCGCGTCCTTAAGTTTTTCATCACTTCCGAACACTTCGAAGACTTCAGAGCGGCATTTTCAAAGCTAACTTGAGATGCGTCAAGTCGCAATCATGAACAATTTCCTGGCTTTTTCACATTCACGCTGGTCTCCGTTCAACAATTGGAAATGATTCTCTTTTTCTGCGCATTCAATACAAAAAAATAATATCACCAACATAATGCCAGGTCGATATGAAGAAAACCGAAGGAAAAACATCGAAGAAATTCAAGGAACATTTTCGCGGATTATTCCGACGAAAGTGAATTAAATCACCGGCTCCGAAATAAAGTCCCGGTAGTATGCACTCCTATTTTCTTTAAAATTTACAAACATCTGAAATTTCACTTTCCCTCTCGAAAAATCTTGGTTTCCAGCAGCAGTGGCACCGACATGGAATAATATTAAAATAAATTACTGGATCAGATTTATTTTTCAAGTTTCTAGAAAAAGCAATGCAGTGGCTATAGCTTGAATAATCCATGTGACCTTGAACTTATAGATTCTTAGTACAGCATACATCGATAAGATTAAAGATTCGGAATATGCACAAATCCTCACTGCGGAAAGCGTTCACAAATAATATGCGGGCGAAAGTGACTTATGGGTCAGGCAACTCATGCCAATGCCCAAGACTTGGGTTCCACTGGAAGAAAAAATCTTTTTCTATTTTAAAGTACACTCATCACGCAAATCTAGACGTGGGACTTTCCTTTATAGACACACATCATTTACTTATTTTTTCACATGGGAATTTCTTCATGAAAAATATGATGGCAAACGCGATTTGTGGCGCCAAAAACCCTTCGAACTTTCCCTTCGTGTAATAATGCGAACACACGAAATTAGATTCCTCTCCAGCAAGGGTACATTCCTTAACCCGTTATAGTGAACACATCATGCAAATCTAAATTTCGAGGTTTCCTTAGAATTACAGTACTTTATTTTCATTCTTTGCATTAAAATTGCAAGGAGAAATGTGCGGGCAAACGGGATTTGATCGAGAAAATAGAGCGTAAAATAAATGATTTTTTTCCGCCACACGAAGTTGAATTGTGCGTGAAGTCAATTAACAAAATTGAACTCTTCCGGAAGGGGACCATTATTTTCACTTTTCAAGTTTTTCTTTAGAATTACTGTACTTCGTTTATTCGTCGGTGGTTCACAATGGAATTTCGTGATACGATTGACCAATAAAATAGGGCGTCAAACACTTATTTTTTCATGCCGCATGAAGTTGATTTATATGGGATAAGTCGATATATGCAAAATAAGGGAGCATAATTTCATCCATTATCGCGCAATCGTAATGCAAATCTAGACACTCTCGAGTTTCTATTGAACTAATCCGTCTTTTTTTTCGTTTTGGAGTTTTTGCAGAGGAGTTTCCGGCGTCGGAGGTGTGACGAAGAGGAGAAAAGCCACGCTTTCAAAAAGAGCAAAAACACATGGTATCCCAACACTTGGAGAGAACGAATGAGGTTCCACCGAGATGAGAATCACTGAGACTTGGCCACGTGGCGCCCGACTTCGTACTGATCTGCGCCGTAGGACAAGTTACTCTCCGGACAGTGGAAAGCGACGCCCAAGATGGGCGCGCACATGACGTACGGCGTGATCCCGGTGCCGCGTCAAGTACTCATCGCACACCACGCAATGATAACCTCGATTCCCGGTTTCAGGGTCAATCTCAATCGTAAGCATGGCATCTTCTTCCCTGCTGCATTCCTCGCGGACTGCGGAATTAGGCCGCTTCCGGGAAATTCGGCGTTCTTCCCCAGCATGCTGTTGCTGGTCGCCGCCGTCCAGCAGCAAGGAATCCTTGCGTACTAAAGGCGGAGGCGGCTGGTGTCGGTCGCCGCCGTCCAGCGCCGCCAGCAGCAACGAATCCTTGCGCACTAAAGGCGGAGGCCCCCGATTTCGGCGCTTCTTCGGTCGCCGTTGGACGCCGTTCGAAGTCGTCGGCAGAATGGCCAACGGATCTACTTGGTGTGAGGAGCGTACACCGCAATCTCGCAGATACACTCGTAACTTCACCTGCGGAGCATTTCATCGTTGGATCAAACGCGGGGAGATCAAATCTAAATTTTTGATATTTTTTTTCATTTATGTTTTGTTTTGTTTTTGTTTCGGTGAAATACCCATGGATTTCGCCGCCGAGCCTCAATAAAATCAGGGAACACTTTTCTTTGCTACAATTTCCCCCCTTTGACTTTATTTGTCATTCTGCATTTTACAATGGACATCCCGAAATGTTCTTCATTTTTCATTATTATAGTGGATGTTTGTGATGGGCAAAAATGTTTGATTAGGTTTGTTATGTTCAAGTTTTGAGTATTGCGGAATTTTTTCATCATATTTGTAACATCGCAAACCTTGAAAGTTCCGCAGAATTATGATCCACAAGTTGAGAATTTAAAAACAAAGCAGATGTAATGATCACGCAGATGAACCAAGATTATAATGCTGTTCAAATTATGTCTGCGCCAGAAAAATGAAATTTGAATGAAAGGGATCGAATTTGAAGAGATCACTTCGTTCCGGCGAATCCAGAGACGATTGTCGTTCGAGCAAAGATGAAAAGCTCGTTTTTATGCGAAAAAAGTTTTCTTCATTGCCACGAAAAACTATTGCGACACAAATCATGGAAACGATCATATGCTTCGAGTCGAATAACATAAGCTTGAACTTTGCTTTTGAGGAATGGATTTTAGGCATGGGTTTTCCCGAAAGATTTGTGTCACTCAAGAAGTGACACTGTAAAGGCACTCAAAGAAATACGAACAAATACTTTTGATTCAAGCAAAATAAGCTCAGTATTCTTTATTTAATGAATGTCAGCCCGGTACGAGCAGAAAAAAAAAGGAAAAACCATCAGACATGTTTCTTTCTGTGTATTGTTGATGGAAAAACTGATTGGGTGCCTCTGGAAGACACCCAAAAAAAAACCTTGGAGAATTTTTTCCCCTCTTCCAATTTTTGGCGAGGATCCTTCAAATCGATTTGGCATTCTTCCTAAAAGTTTGCTTCAATCGCTCCATGGTGGTTTTCAGTCTTTTCTTCTGGATTTAATTTCTCAAGAGGAGACGCATTTGCACGCGACTTGAACATGATAAGCTAATACGTCGTCAAAAAGGCAGAAAACCTCTCGAAAGACTCGAATAAAAGGTAAGACGTGCATTTTTCTTTTCAAGCATATCTTTCAATTTTTTGCGTATTTCACGGGAGAATGAGTATTGCGCATTAAGATATAAAAAATACGGTATTGATCAGTCAGGAATTTGAAGTGGTCGTAAAATCAATCTCCAGTTTCAAAATGCTGACGAGAAAAAAGTCTTGAAGTGTGATCGCCAGACTCATTCATTTCATTGCATTCCTTTTTTTTACACTTGGGTAAAAAACAAAATGAATGCATGTGTCGCTTGATATTTCATCACTTTTCCACCGCATTTCATGGATTCAAAAAAGGGTACAGTATATTGGAACCTCTTTAAGTCCAATTTCAAGGGACCAGCAAACAATTCGATTCAGAGAGCTTTCCACTTGGAGAAATAAGCATTTTTGTGATAGGAAAGAAAGAAGAATTGCAGAAAATTGTAAGTGCTGATATTCTGGGCCTCTAATTTCTTCTAAAATGATTTTTCAGGATGCTGACCTTCGAGGCAAGGGTTCATTTGCCCTACTACTAGTCTTTCACGTTCTTTAAAAACACATCAAGTTACTTTTTTATTGCTTTTCTCTATCCTGTGTCAATAAAATATTAGCAAAAAAAAAAAAACTCGGAAAATTCGAGTTGAAGAGGTTTGAGAGGAAAATCCTTCACGTTAGGGAGATTTTTTAATGCATTGTTTCTAATGGAATCTACTAGATGGGGACACATTTAAAACAAATTTGACTTATGGAAGTTCGAGTTATCGAGGTTCAACTGCATTAGATTAAATAAAATCGCTGAAAATAATTTCACGTTGTTTTTCGTGCCGATGACATGAAGAAAAAATTGAACTCTCATTTACTTTTTGTAAATTTGCATGGCTTTCGAGAAAATACTCGCACGAACTTCCTTTATCGAGTGCATCTGTATTTATTGGACATCATGGAGACGCCATGACGACCATTGGGGCATTGCTTGCGTCGTCCGGAATAAGTCACGCAGTTGTGCTCAAAATTCAGTGTCGACTTCATGTGAGCGTGTGCGTGTCAAAGTCGACTTTGACCATGGGAACAAGTATCATGACTCGCGAGGACTGGGATTCCGGAAACTAGACACCGGAAGGAAAGACGATTCTCGACCGGATTTTCCGGTTGAATCCGGATCATGGCGATTGACTTGAATAACGACCACGCCGCACAGAGAAAGAAGGCGAAAAGGAACGAGGAACCGGCGCCGTTTTGGAAACTGTGTCTTCGGTTCGCGTTCTCGCACGTGGGACTGTTCCTGCTTGTTGGGGCGTACGCCACGTTAGGTAAGCGAGGAATGGAAAACATTTTCAATCCCATAAATCAAGGCAAAATGAAAGAAGCTACAGATGGAATATATCTCTATATACAACTGAATTCAATGAGTAAAAAAATAATTGTTCAAGACAGAACGATTTTTTTTCGTCGTGAACCCCTATACCGAGAGAATCCTATGGGACCTAAAAAAAATCGTTGAACAGAGAATATTGTTGTAGTCTCGTAGACAAAATCGTTGTATGAGGGAGTTCACCAGTGTAAGCGTGCATCAATAACATGACGCAATTTTTATGTAATAAAATTTGAAGCATCGTGAAAAAAGTGGTTGATGATTTTACAATCAACTCCTCGATCAATGGACCAACTGACCAAAAGGTTGGACGGAAAAATCTTAATTTCTCCAATCTATCTTTTCTTTTGATCTTACGCAACAACATAATAAAATTGAGGCATCGTGAAAAAAGCGGTTGATGATGTTACAATCAACTTCTTCGTCAATGGACCAACTGACCAAAAGGTTGGACGGAGAAATCTTAATCTTTCCAATCTATCTTTCCTGTTTATCTTACGCGTCAACATAATAAAAATTGAGGCATCGTGAAAAAAGCGGTTGATGATTTTACAATCAACTTCTTGGTCACTTGACCAACTAACCAAAATGTTGGACGAAGAAATCTTTATCTTTCCAATTTATCCTTTCTGTTTATCTCACACGTTAACAATCGATTTCTTATTTCACCCCAATGCGCAGAAAATTTGTTTAGCAATCAAATCTAGCTAATTTCTCTATAATTCTACTAATTTTGATACGGTCATGTTCAATAAAAAAAAATGCGCCTCTCGGATAAAAAAAAAGCATTCCAACATTGCTTCTGCTGGGCTTTCTAATCCAAACTTGGAAATACAGAATAAAATGTTCACAAATTGTATCCATGTCCAGCCAACACATTTCATAAACACATTCGTCTTCCGAATAAATCCCGAAGATTTTATTCAGAATAAAAAATTTAACGTGGAGCCTAAATTTTCCGCTGACATTGCTAGATTTTTCCCAAAAGAAAATAGTTTTCTTCTCAATCAACCAAAAAAAAAAACAGTATTCCTAGATAGGTTACAGATTATATTTTTTAATCCGATCAAAACACGAAAGAAATAAAATCTGACGCGTACTCAATCCGTGAATCTTCGCTATTGCAATTTTTTTTAATTCCAAAAACTCCAAATTAGTGGAGGTTTCAGCTGTAAACTCTCAGCCTTGTTTTGTTCAATAAAGTATATTACAGCATTCGAATGTTGAAACCAATCGAAAACATGTACATTACTTCCAACTAATGTACATCCAGAATCGGCTTTGTCATTTAGCTCAATTCGGAAACTCGTTCAGTGATTCAAGTAAGACGATTACCCCTTCATCCTGTCACGCATAAGGTCATCTTGGAGTGAATGCTATACTGCATATGCCAAGACATTTTTCGCCACCATAATTCCGACGAATCCTTACGATTATACGAAGCTTTCAATTGACTTCGTTTCTTAATGTAGGGGCCTATTTGTTCATTTCATTGGAATTGCCTTTCGAGGAATATCGGTACGAAGTGAAGAAGGTCAAGGCTCAGGACGTGGACGATTCCATCAGATTCCTCGCTGATCACTTTGAATATTTCAACAAGCAAAACTTGACTTCGCCTGAATGGAAGACCAAAGTATGATACACAGTTTCTTGTTGATGAATTTCGAAAATTAAAATTCCGATTTAAATGCGATTCCGTGTTACAACAGCAGTAACATATTCAATTTGCTGACAAGTGAATTTTGTTGGTAATTTAATCGTGAAAGCTATATTCAGTCAAAATTATCATTTGCCACACGGAAAATATAGCGACAGCTAATGACGTTCTCTCATCAAGGTCATCAATGATTTGACGAGGCTGAAGAAGTACATCGTGTCACTCGTCGACGAATATCAATACGACGGTGATGTCGAGGGCTGGACCTACTCGTGGACCTTTGGAAAGGCTTTGCTGTACGCAATAACTTTCCCGTTGAAGTTGCATCAGCTGGAGACCAGGAATAATTTTCATATTTAAATCATCTTTCGAGGGTACAGTGCAAGTTTTCCCACACAGCTCCTACACTATAGTTATTTCTGGTGCTGTTTTTAGAAGAAAAAAAAAAACTGCTCTCTGTCATTCTTCTCTGTTTTGACATATTTTCAGGATACGGACACATTGCTCCAGACACGTTCAATGGACAGATTTTCGTCATCATTTATGCCATCATCGGGGTGCCGTTGATGTTGATGTTCCTCGCTAATATTGGTGACACGATGGCAACTTGGCTCAAATATACATACAGGTAAAATCAATGTTTGACTGAATCAAAGTTGCGAAGGGTTCGAAACAAAATTTCAAGTGTTGACGATTGGCAGGTAATCATTTTTGAAAAACACTGCCGGAGATGCGGGATCGCAATAGCAGATCTTCAACAATAAGTTTTGCAAAAATGCACGCGAAGTTCGCGAGCACTTTATCCGCAAATATTGCGAAAATATGCGATATGTGCAAGGTTTTCAATTCTTCCAATAGCAAACAAAAAAAATGATCGAAAACAATAGAAGATTCTTCATTTAAACTTTACGAGAAGATTGATCGATTTTTTAAACCATATAAAATGTTTCTTAACATGTACGCTGTCCTTTTCTTACTCTCTTCTGTGGAATGAAACTTCACAAAAGATAATTCTTAAAATTGTATATCCATTACAGTCGTGGATGCTGTCGCTGGTGCAGGTCAAGAAGGAAAGAATCAGAACTGCCACCCGGGATTCCAAAAAATTCCCGCGGGTATCGACTGATGGATGAAGAAGTCGGACCCGAAACCTACATGCCTACCGACGACGTGAGTTTGTATCCCAAATAATTTTTAAACTAAATTTAAATGGGTCAGAGAAAAAGGAAAAAAATGTGGGGGAAATACAACTCTAGAACGAACTCATTTAGGACGCATTGAATGCGTAAAATATGTGGCCTTTTCATTCACAAACAGCCATAAACAGGGGGTCTACAAAACCCCATACAGATTTTAAAATGAAAATATCCAGAACTATTCAAGCCACCATTTCGAAAAAAATTAAGTTCAGTTAATTTTGCCATTTGAATGATTTTTTTCGCAAAAAATAACAATGCACATTGAAGGCCCCCAGAATTGTTCGCCGTTTATTGAAAATCTGTTTGAAAATTTAAGATGATATTGAAAAATTTCTTGAAATGCAAATCACAAGAGCAGCAAAATGGTGATTCTCCACGGAATCAAGCGTCACTGAATTTCGAAACTATTAAAGTGTACTTGAGTCGGCATTTTGTAAGGTAGCATTTGTTTTTGTTTTTAAATAGCCAATTTTGACTGCAGAAAAATCCAGACGTATTCATATACGGTTCGTACGCGTCTATCTGTGTTAGATCACGGTTCCCATTGTGCTGAACTTGGTCATCCTGTCATTCTACATCGTCATGGGTGGACTGTTGTTCAGTTACTACGAGGGTTGGACGATTTCAGAATCTGCCTATTTCACGTTCGTCACGATCAGCACCATTGGGTTCGGAGACTATGTACCAGGGAAAAGGTTCGTGAACATTGTTAAAGTACTCGCCGCGACCGGCAGAAATATTTGACAACAGTCCCAAAACAATAAAGTCTATTGCAATTTTATGGCACAGGTACTTGTACAGTATCATTCCTTTATTACTCAACGCTTAGAGTTTTGGAGGAGCTGGCGTTAAGATCACGGTACTTACTCAAAGCTTTAATGTTGAATGTAAAATATTATGAATTTCTTTCTTGTCTCTTGACTTCAGTTGCATTTTTGCACGAATATTCCTCCTGAGCATAAATTATACAGTACCAAGTATTGAAGGGTCTACAGTACTTCCAAAATAGAGGTAAGAAGCAAAAGTGAATAAAAATGCACACATCAATCCTTTAAAAATGCAGTTCGAAGAATTGAACAGATCTAAGATGATTATACCCCCTCTTGAATGGATTTTACACTTTTCTGTGCTTTAATCTTCGATTCGCACGAAATGAGAACGAAAATTCACAAATTAAAATGTAAAATTGTAAGGTATTATTATTGTTTATGCATTTAATGGGTGTCAAGGATTATTCTGTGGAGTCCTTCAGGAACAAAAATGACGAAATATTGTATGTAAATGAAATAATTAGGAGGAAAATGATGAAATTCCAAAGGTCTCATTTCCGAGTACAGTACATTATACGGTGTGCTTATTTTCGCCATGAGGTTCACATTTCCCTCTTTCTCTCGCTGTTTATTCTAGAATTCAGGGATAATTATAGGAAAATGGAAGCCTTGAATTTTGATTTTTATGGAGGTAAATCAGTCGCGATCCTGTTTTCTCAATGCAAAAAAAAAAAAAAAAAAAAAATAGGTTGGATATTTT